TGACAAACGTACGGCAACGATGTACGCACGACGACGACGAATACGAACGAGTAAATACGAACGAATGTACGAACGAACGAACGATACCGACGAACGGATATCTGTTTCTCGGCGGGATGAATCGAGATCGGTGTCGCTACGGAGATGTTTGTAGGTGGTTCCTGTAGAGATTCGACGAGCGTATAAACGAGAGTCGCAGGGTGGAGAGGAACGAGAATGTAGAGACAAAGAACGTGAGAAGATGGAACGTTGAATCTTGCACGGCGTATAGTCCAAAGTTTAAAGTGCATTAATTTTTATTGTTAAATTACGATATTGCTGAATGATTGTTATTGAATAAAAAGTATTGACATCAACGAATTGCCTAGTTCCTCTCGTAGTACGGCGACACGAGCGTAGGTTTTACGATGATCGGTAAGGCTAGTAATTCACCGTACTACGAGAGGAACTGTGCAATTTACGCTGATCCAGGAAAGAAAAGACAAAAGCGATTGCTTCGTTGTCGATTTTGTTGTAACGATTCGCGAAATGATCGATCGAAACGAGGATTCGTACGCGAGATTGCGCGTCGATTAACTTTTATCCGAGATGGATTCTTCGATATCTTTTTGAGACAGATGTCGCTACGCTCGGCCGACAAGTAGCGCCATCTGTAGATGACTGTCGTGATCGAAAAATTACGCGTTCGCAGGAGCATTGGTAACGTCGTTGGAGATCTAAGATGGCGGCTGACGAAGTAAACTTACGAAATTGCGCTCTGTTGAAAGTCGTTCGTGATTTTGTCGTTTGTTGAACGTTGTCAGTTGACAGTTTCGATTCATCTTTACGTGATATCGGTCTAGGATCGCCAACAGCCGAAACGCGCCCCGCGTGCAAGTGGGACACAAACGTTTCTAGAATCACAGGCTTGCGATGTCGGTAATCGCCTCGAAGCCATGCCGCGAGAAAGAAAATTTGAAATCGACGGAGGAGGACGATTGGAAGATGCAGCTTGCATTTTGCAAACCGCGGCACACGGCGACGATCGAAGGTGTAAATTGTATCACGCAGACATGGAGGATGAAGGAACGGGTTTGTTGCTCTTTTTCTTTTCTTTGGCTTGTTTTTGGAGGGTTGATCTAGCCTAAAAAATTGCGTACTTTTGACTCCGTTTGGGACAGATTGTCTGACAGATTTCTATTTTTTTTCTTCTAGATGAAAACCGTGAGCGTGGCTCTGGTTTTGTGTTTGAATGTTGGCGTTGATCCACCGGATATTGTCAAGACGCAACCGTGCGCTCGTCTCGAGTGTTGGATCGGTATTTGTTTCAGTTTATTTACATCCCCGCGATGCCCCGCTGTCATTGTCGTTGTGTAATGTGTTTTGAGGTTGTACTTGCGCGTGACGGCAGTTCGTAAATGAATGATTTTAACGAATAACTGCTAGATGGCGTTATATTTATTACTAATTTGAATATTTCGTTTGCACCGCGAGCGAATTTGCTTCCTTTCCCATGTTTTTTTCATCGCGCGTGCGAACGAAGATTGTCATAGATTTCTAGTTGTCTCGTTCGAGTGATCTTACCGTGATCTGAAAATTAATCGATACCGATTAAAGTTGTCGCGGTAATAATTTCTTTGACTTTACAGATCCTTTGTCGGTAAGTCCGCAGAAAGCTTTGGAAACTATAGGTTCCAATTTGCAAAAACAGTATGAACGATGGCAACCAAGGGCTCGTTACAAACAGAGTTTAGATCCCACCGTCGAGGAAGTTAAAAAGTTGTGTACTTCCTTGAGACGAAACGCAAAGGAAGAGAGAGTTCTGTTTCATTATAACGGTCATGGTGTTCCTAAACCTACTAGTAATGGTGAAATATGGGTATTTAATAGAGTTAGTAAAACCGAGCATTTTGATCGATATGAACGATAATTCGATAAGTATAATCTTTGATTATTGTTGCAGACGTACACGCAATACATTCCTTTGTCTGTATACGATTTACAAACATGGATGGGTGCACCTAGCATCTATGTGTACGACTGTTCCAATGCGGGTATCATTGTAGAGTCCTTTCAACAATTTGCGGAACAACACGAAAAGGAATATGAGGTACTTGGATAATTTTGGAAAGGTTTCGATTAGAGATGACCATTGACGTACAGGTTGTATATCGGATGTATCGTTTTGCAGATGGAGAAGCAAGCAGTTCAGCAGAATCGTGCGACTGGGGTTGCAGGTGCTACTGCGCCATCCTATAAAAATTGTATTCAATTAGCAGCATGTGCGGCTAATCAAATTTTACCTATGAATCCAGATTTACCTGCGGACATATTTACGTCGTGTCTTACAACTCCGATAAAGATAGCATTACGATGGTGAGATGAAAATATAACTTGTCGACGTGTAAAACCTTGATGTGAAATTTTGCGCGATGCTCGACGTTGTTTCTTTTGCAGGTTTGTCATGCAAAATACATCGAAATTGGTACCGAAGATATCGTTAGATTTGATCGACAAGTAAGAATATTTGATGTACACGCGGTACACGGTGTGTACGTAACGTCTTCTTCGATGCAAATTGCAATTATCGTAAATAAATTTCAGAATTCCAGGACAATTGACCGATAGAAGAACAATGTTGGGAGAACTTAATTGGATTTTTACAGCAATTACCGATACTATAGCGTGGAATACATTGCCAAGAGGTAAATTTATATACTATACTTCCAGACTGTGTGTAAATGTGTACAAACATGTAAAAATGATGTACGTTAAATGTGTTCAATTTGCAGATTTGTTTCAGAGATTGTTTAGACAAGATTTATTAGTAGCTAGTCTATTTAGAAATTTCTTACTTGCTGAAAGAATACTTCGTTCGTACGATTGCACTCCAGTTTCTTGCCCAAAATTACCACCTACTTATCAGGTAAGTAAGGAAAAATCGTAATCTTGATATTTCTCTAAAAAAAATATCTATCGTGTTTATCGTTGTCTTTTTATTAATATATTTATCTTTCGTTGATTTAGCATCCTATGTGGCAAGCGTGGGATTTGGCACTTGATCTCTGTTTAGCGCAATTACCATCTATTCTTGAAAATGAAGATCAATTTATGCACTCGCCTTTTTTTGAAGAACAATTAACAGCTTTTCAAGTATGGCTTACACTGGGTTCTAAAAATCGGAATCCTCCGGAGCAACTGCCGATAGTGCTACAAGTGTTATTAAGTCAAGTTCATAGATTAAGAGCATTGGAATTATTGGGACGTTTCCTTGATCTTGGCCCATGGGCGGTGAATTTAGCTCTCAGCGTGGGCATTTTCCCATATGTTTTAAAATTACTTCAAAGTAATGCCAGAGAACTACGTCCGTTACTTGTTTTCATTTGGGCAAAAATTCTTGCAGTCGACAGTGTAAGTTTAACGTTAATATTTTTAATGTCTACTGGCTTTTTAAAAAAATTATTTATCATAGACTGTTATGTGGTCTGTTTATTATAGACTTTGTTTCAGACTTGTCAAGCAGATCTGGTACGAGACGGAGGGCATAAATATTTTCTATCTGTTCTTCAAGATACTTCTATACCGGTATTACGTTGCTATGCGTAATTGTATTAAAAAAAAGTTTCAATTTCTTTGATATGAATATTATTTTATTTCATTTTAGAGTGACCATAGAACGTTGGCAGCGTTTGTTTTGGCTAGCATTGTGAATGATTATCGACCGGGTCAGGTAGCTGCAAATCATGGTAGTCTTGTTTCGATTTGTTTGGAACAACTTGGAGATTCAAATGCTTTGTTGAGACAATGGTTGTGTTTGTGCCTCGCGAGACTTTGGCATAACTACGACAAAGCAAGATGGTGCGGAGTCAGAGATATCGCTCATGAAAAATTATTTACGTTGCTGCAAGACCCAGTTCCTGAGGTGATAGAACTTGCTTGCTTAATGTTTTAATATTTATATATAATGATAATGATGTAGTTAAGAGGGAAATAAAATCACACAGGTTCGAGCAGCTAGCGTTTATGCTTTGGGAACATTCGTAAATAGCGTAACGACGCGAAGTGAGCATGCAAATAATATTGATCAAATCATAGCTATGACGCTTATTAACACCGTATCTCATGATATGTGTCCCCTAGTTAGAAAAGTATGTAAGTTTGTCGTGCGATGATACGTGATACGTAAGTTTAACGTTCTTCGTATAAAGAAAAACTATTGATTATTTTCCAGGAATTAGTAGTAGCACTTCAATGGATGGTATTACATTTTGAAAATTCCTTCGTAACGTTAGCACTGGCTGAAGAAAATAGCCGAAAAGACCTCGTAGTGGAGACGTTGTCGCCGTTTAGTGGAATGAGACGCATTAGTTCTAGAGACAGATTGAAAATGCTTTCTCCGAACAACACGTATAGTGCGGACGGTACAGATGGATTTGGTCAGGATCGTATTAAGAGAGTGTCGTCGTCGTCGTCTATTAGTAGTTTAGGTAAGTAACGATTTATCGTTGTTAGCCAGAGTTACCAGCTTTATTGCCGGATTTTCGATAACAGTTCCTTGTATTGTTTCATTCGTGTGCCAGGAAATAATTGGGAGTTCGTGAGGAAACCTTGCGAGTCACTTGGTAATAACGATTGGAAATTCCATTGCATGTTCGTACATAGTTCGTCCTTCGTTTTTAGATTTTGTAATTTTTAATTTGTAGCAAACGCTATATCGCTATTTTGTTATTTACAAGCACATTGTCGTAAAGACCTGATATTTTTCTATATTCTTGGAAACAAAGTGTCGTAAACTGTGTTTCTTTTATTATTTATAGGACACGGTTCTCTTGGAAATTTACCAAGTCTTTCCTACGGTAGTGTATATATGAAATTGTGGCATGGATTGTGCAGTCTTGACAATGATCCTCATCCAGTGGTTGCTACTATGTCTCAGAAGGTTACTAATCACATTCGAAATCAGGTAAATACGATGCGATTTAAAAATAATTATATTAATTTTTATTGGAATTTAAATGAAATAAAATAGCAAGATATTTCTAAAGGTCAAAGAATCTTCTGCGCCTAAAGAGGTAATTGAAACAAAAATATCTTCGTCGCTGTCCCTTCCGCCTTCTCCTTCAAATCGTACTACGTACTTGAGGTTGGTAAATATTTAATATATCTTTACGTCTAATTCCTGTAATGTCGTGTTCAATCTCTTAATATGTAATAAAGTAACAGCAAAGGAGAATCGCCGCCTACGGTAAATTCTGGAACAGATTTATTACGCTCATCGAGAATACCATTGCACGGCAATCGTTCGAGAAAACCAATTCCTAATACGGTAAGAATTAATCGATGTATCGTTGATCTTGCTTGAAAATTACCTGACGTATCATTCGGAATATTCGTATTTGTAACATCGTTTTATTCGTAGATTTCAGAAGAGGCAGACGAAGTTGCTGGAATTAAAACACCGTTGACAACTTCGCAGTTTGTTGAATGGAGTTGTGCTCAATTTGCTCAACCTGTTAGTTTAGAAATTGAAACTGAATCGATGAACGACGTGGAAAGTAGAGCGCATTATGAAAGGGAGTGGCGGTACGAATTCGATGATATAATTATCTTTTTTTAAAGCGAAGAAACTAACTTGTAGTTTTCAACATTTAGGTACTTGAGAAATAAGAAACAAAGACGCGAAGCAAGAGAGGAACAATTACGCTCGGTACAAAGCAGAGTAGAATCCCAAGTATTTCATACGAGGTGTTCACATTCTCCGGAAGTTCTAACATTTCATCCGTTCGAACCTCATTTGGCTGTAGCATTGAAAGATTACTTTGGGTAGTTAAATTTCAATATGGTCTAACATTATTGTGGTCTGATATCGTTACACGTGAAACATAATATTACTTGATAAAATTATTTATCTGTAGGATATGGGATTATCAAACTGGTGCAAAATTAACTTATTGTGCAAGTCATGGAAATAAAATGTCACGTATCACAGCGCTGGAGTTTATTAATGCTCATGATGTAACGTTATTAATGGCTGGATCTGACGATGGTTCGGTTAGAGTATGGAAAAATTATAGTAGTATGTTAAATCGCGATCCAGTTTTACTTACTGCTTGGCAAGCAATAGCTGATATACAACCTGCGACAAAAACAACGACAGGTATGTACATATATTCTGGAACGTGTATCTATTGCAATTATATACGTTAATTAAAATTGTTTGTAGCAACAGCTGGATTAGTTACCAAATGGGAGCAAAGGTCCCTTACATTAGCTGTAACGGGTGATGTTCGTATTGTCAGGCTATGGGATGCGGAGACTGAATTAAAGAAACAAGACGTACCAACAGGTGCTGATTGTTGTGCTACGTGCATTGATGTTGATGGCGTAGGTTAGTTCCTTACGTATAATTACGTAAGAACAAACTGTTCGTGTAAAACATTTGTCAAGTATAAAATATGATAAAGATAAATATTATTTCGTTCGATTATACATAGGTGCAATGATGGCGGTAGGTTGTGGAGATGGTTCGGTTCGTTTATTTGATAGAAGATTACCTCCTTTAGAATCGAGAGTTATGATTTGGAGAGAGCATACAGCCTGGGTGCTAGGCACATCTTTGAGAAAATGTGAAAGATCTGCGCCGCAACTGTTCACTGGATCATCTTCGGGAGATATTAGAATATTTGATCTCAGAAAAAATTCTTCCGTAAGCACTGTACAGATAACGCAAGGTATTACAGCATTGGCAGCACATGAAATGGCGGATATTTTTGCGTGGTACGTTTAGACTATTGATAAAAGTCACGATTGGTAAATTTATATAGATTATTTCAGAAATATTTATGTATGTTTCAGTGGATCGACGAATCACTGTATAAGTGTATATAACACTATGGGTCAACACTTAAACACAATAAAATTTCATGAAGGATTTATGGCCACTCGTATTAGCCCTGTAAGTTGTTTAAGCTTTCATCCTTATCGTGTGATTCTAGCAGCTGGTTGCGTAGACAGTACTGTCACAGCATATGCGTCTGAACCACGCAGATGACTAATAGAGATGGAATTATTATAAAATTATTTTTATAAATACAAACTCATAGTACTTGATACTCTTAGCGCTAACAGTCGGTAAAAAGAAATGTTAAGAGTGTAATGTTGAATTTTATTTGAAAGGTCAGAGGTGAATTCTTATTTTTCACTTGTGCTTCACTGCGTTTTTTTCGTGCATAAAAACGTCTTGCTTTGGAATTTATTGATATAGCGTTTTTGTGAATAGTTCTTGTGATTACAAAACTTGCGAAGTAACCAAAGTCTTTAGAGGCGACCAAAGAGAAGATAATATGAACTATACGTGCAAGAACAGTGTAATATTTTGAAACGCGGTTGGTCGAAAAATTTAACGTTCTTGATGAACAATGGTGTACAATATATGCGTATGCGATGCAACGAAAAAGATTTGAATGCATGTACGAATGTGTTTAATGTTTAATAAAGCTTGTAACATTCGCAAGGAAATAACTTTGATTCTTGTGCCATGCAAAATTAATTCCAATTGATTACGCTCTTACGTAAATTCAGATGATGGAATATTTAATTATTTCTCACATATCGATAAGTTTTTCCCTTAATTTTCATTTTTACAAAATTTTAAAGGAAACAGAAATTTTTATGTCGGAGCTCTTTTGGAAAATATCTATAAACATTTTTTTATTCCAAGATAAATATGTTACGATGAAATTGGAAAGAAAACTTGAGGATAACTTATTTAAATAATTTAATTACATTATTTTAGCTTATGATTGATGCAATAAACTACTAGATCAATAGTAACAAGAAAAAAAAACAAAATTATCTAAAATGGCAACTATATGAATTACGTTTTTATACTAATGAATAGTCTTTGTACACGTGATATTATGTGTACTCTAATTGTAACTTTTTCCATCCGTGAAATTTTTCGTTGCAATTTTAAAGAAAAAATTGTTTTTGTAAATATGTATTGTGTATTCATCAACATGTAGTTTAAGTAATGCTTTGCAAGCACTTCTTTGCAATTTGTGAAAATACCTCGTATCGTATTAAAAATTTGAGAAGTTTGAAAGAAAATGCCTTCTCAGTGACAATTTAAACAATCAAGTAAATACATATAATTTATATTCAACTAATTTTTGTTTCTATATTAGTTGGAAAATATTTTATGAAGTAATACTTATACATTGTATGTGTGTATTTTATATTGCTATTGTAAAATTTCTGTGCTGCTGTTATTGTTTGCAACTATTATCTTAAAAGAAAGAAATAATACAGTGATATACATTAAGAAGAAGGAATTAGTTTTCATATGCATACGTATCAGTAACATGGGTATGTACGAGTAACGTAAGATACAAGCATCTAAATTTCATAAATGATAAGAAAAAAACAAGAAGAAATTAGATAATAAATTCGTGAATAAAAGTGTACATAAATAATAATAGAATATCAGATGTAGTGTTTGAGAAACTACGATGCTAAAAAAGATTTATTTCCTCATATTTTACATGTATAGTTTTGTTATTGACACTTGGCATTCAGAGGCGCGATGAAACATGTGATTTATTAACTTTCAAGTATGTGAAACAAGAATCTGTAATGTAAATGCATCGTAGTTTACATCGCAAGATGTTTCAAAAATTGAGTGCATAAATATTAACCTACAAATACGTAAAAGTAGATTTGTTTACAGAGTATCGGAAAATGCAAATGGAGTCGCATCGGAAATATAATGTTTATTTATGAACCACCTTCTGTTTATGTACAAAAAAATTTATACATAAAAAAATTATAGTTAAAAATATGTTTGAGCAAAAGATATTTATTTTAATGAAAATTGTTATTTCTAATCGTCAAATTGATGTAATATTGTAATTTGTCAATAGTGATGTTAGTGACGAATGTTTTTGCTAATCGTTTATTTTGATGGAAATTTCTTTATATGATATATCACGTATACACGTGGTGAGATTTCGATATAAAAAGTACTTAATGTCAGAGTCAGCATCATTTGTTAATATATAAATGGCTAGGTTACCTTTGTACATATTATGTACGATTTATTATATACGATATATATTCGTTACTATTGTTAATGATAATTACCGGAAACGTGAAACGTTGGAAAAATAATTCAAGGTGGGTGAGAATATGATGTATTATTTTGCACTGTATTCGTTATTGTATATGATCGCCTTATATAATAATAATAATAACAATAATAATAGTAATAGTAATAATAATAAATATAATATAATTATGTTATTTCAGTGTAATAATGTTTTACCGAATTGCTTGCACATTAGCATAAACGTAAGACAGTGGGAAACAGGAGGTAAGTAGCAAACAATATCTTAAAAAATTTGATTGCTATTTATAATTATTAATTACTGTATATTCTATCATTATTAATCATTTTTTTTTTAATGATTATTCTTTTTCTTTTTTATTTTTGAGAAAGATTAAATTTGATTGAAATTTTGAATTTTACAGCACGATAAATAATAATTATTGTAAGTGAAGTTTTAACAGAGTGAACGATAAATCGACGTATAATTATATGTTAATTGTATTTTAATTGATCTTATAATTTATATGTTGACTAGTTTATGTCACGTAAGTAAGAAAAAACGTCATACGCCACGTATGTTGCATAGTTAGTTACTTACTATATCCAAATCATCGATGGTTTTAGTTTGCAGGTTCATTTCGCTCGTGAATCATAGTGTAAAAATGAATCATCAAATTCAAAGAACTAACAGTAGGCATTTTTCATTTGATTTTATTAATTTTGGAATTTCATTGATTGTAATAGCAACAAAGTGACATACCGTAGTAAATATATAGTAACTTAATATATTGTAGTAGCAACAAATTAAAAAGTTACATTTGAACGCTAATTGGTGGAGCAAGTGTTATATATAATGTTGTTTTTACGACGCTAGGTTAAAGATGGATTTATTAATAATTATTGTAAATTATTACGATTTTGCTTGAAATTTTTTAATTTAAAATTGTTTATTTACTATTCGGTTATTAAAAGTATGCGTTTGATACTTTTGAGAAAATGATTTGAAGTAGGAAAACGATTATTTTCAGTATCTATTTATTTTCGTAATAATATAATCATTACATGTGTATGTGTGTGTATATATATATGGTAATGTAGATTCTGTGATTTTAGTTTTCCAACTTGCAAATTCAAATTCAAACATTTTCCCGCCATTTGCTGTAATGCCGGTATTTAATTTTTGAAACAGCCTATAGTTTAGTACTTTGATCATAATGTAATTCAGAAAATAAATAATCATACGTACAATATATGACTGTTGTACATGTTTTAATATTACATTCATCTTACGTTTCAGCTGAATAAAGATGCTGTTGAAGTTATCAAAATGATGTTTGTGCTTACAATTAGTAACAACATTGCTACACACGCTATATGTAAAAAGTGATACAAATCTTTCTTGAAAGATTTTGAATCTGAAGCTAGCACGATGATTATAAGAAGCTTAAAATGAGAATGGAAATGGCCAGAAAAGAGGTTACTGACGTTAATAGAGGATACTTTAGTGATTGAAGTATTACAAAACATTTCAAGTACAAATATAAATGAAAATAGAGCTATAAATATAAATAACGTAGAACCAAAACTGTATGTAGAATTTTCATTTTGTTACACGAATAATGTGCGTGTTTATGCAGAAATTTAATATTAATAAAATATTAAATTTGAACTTTTAAATCAAATGAAATTATATCGATGTTAGATGATATAAATGAAAGTTATATTATAATGGGAGCTACATTGAACAAACGGAAGATGTGCAGCCAGGTATCTACGGCTTGTTTTACGACGGAGCGAAAAAAAAGGTATTACAGTGTGCACTTCCTTTAAATAATATTTGCTCTTACTTCCATATTTTTCTTTAATCTTATCTTCTTTCACTTTACAGAATGTTCCAACTATTTTTACGACCTGTTGTGCGTAACAACCCCTGTAGAGGAGCAGATAAAAGCAGTTTGAGGCAATGACCTTATTTTATGATATTGGGGATTCTGTATTTCTTGATAATTTCAAGAAGGATAAGATGGTTTTCCCTGTATGGTTTTCTATCATTCCAGAATTTTAGACGCACGATAAATATTGTAAGTACTTTCTTGTTTAGTAACTATCATAGAATATTGTAAATTCTAACGTCATAGTGTAAATTGAATTACATGAAATCTCGTGAAAGATATCAGTGAGAATAATTGATAAATATATTATTGAGGACTAATTGAGAATTATGCCTATTTAATTGTAAAATTTAACAAATTTTACAATTAAATAGAAATGTTGAAGGAAATTCACAATTTTACAAAAAAGTTTCGTAATTTCTGGTTTATTTACTTATTAACAGTAATAATTTGAAGTAATTTCAATGAAATTTAAGTATTTCACTGCTAGATTTTTTATAAATCTTGTGTAAAAGAAGTTACACGATAAACATATTCAAAAACTTAATAATAATAATGTACTTTTTGCACAATTGTTTGCAAAAATTACTTCTCAAATTCAACAAAATAAAAGTTTATATATTTTTAAGAAGACTAAAAAGAAGATTAATATTTTAGATATTTTAGAATTAATTTAATTTAAGATTTAATTACTTGATTCAAGAAAGATATTTTAAATAAATTTATATATATTTAAATTACTTCTCAAATTCAACAAAATAAAAGTACTTGATTTAAGAAAGATATTTTAAATAAATTTATATATATTTAAATTTATATTCGATATTTTCATTTTTCTGCTTCTATGCATATATTTTATAAAATAATTAACTGCTAACTGGATTTATGACTTAATGATTTCATTTTTGTGGTACAATCAATCCTCTCGGGTTTCTTACATCCCGCGTGGAAAGTGCTGCCCACTTCCTATGTTTTCAAGAACAATCGTTACTTTAAAAATTCATTATTGCGTATCGATAATATTAGATAACGATATGTAACGATAACTTTGGCAAATTTTTTACTCGTGCTACATTTATTTTTCTGAAAGATTATTTTATTTAAAATCTATTTGTTCTATTGAAGTTTTCACAAATGCAAAATCCCTACTGCGTTTGTTACATCTTTTAAAGCGTTTTTACTATCGATTATTATATCGTGGAATACCATCGATACTTACCATGGAATCGTAAACGGGTGACCGAATAGAACCGAATAAAATAATTGAAAAAGGTGAGCGTTCATTCACGTTTCGTGAAGCAGATTTATATATTATGTTTGTTTCATATTACAATGAGCACCCCATTATTAAACTACGGACTGTGATTCAGACCGGGTAGGCACGTGCGTTGTATGCGCGAACGGAGCAGTGGCGCGTGACGCAGCCGCAGTCGTCGCTCGGATCTCGATCGGGCCGGTTGTGTACTGTGTTTCGTAGGTAGATTCGCGAACCACCATTCGAGCGTCGTTCAGTCCATTCCGAACCGTGCGATCGGAA